GAGGAATGGAGGCGGGGAAGCCGCGCCTCGACTGCACCTCCCGCCGTGCCCAAGGCGGCTCCGACGCCCTCTGCGCTGTCCCTGTCTGCAGGGGCTGGATCCCGCCCCCAGGATGGATCCCACCCCTGGGGGTGCCCTGCCCTGGGGGCAGGTGACAAAGCATCTCAGAGCAGCTCGGCCCCCAGTGGAGGAGCGGGTGCTGAACCCCCACCCACCTTCCTCCTGCTTGTCTTCATCCTCCTGTGCCCCACACGGGTTTGTCCCCCCTGCACCCAGCACCAGGGCTTCTCCCGATCGGCCCCCACCCGCGCCCAACGGGTCGCATGCAAGCGCAGGAGAACGGACGGGACGGGACGGGCCGGGCCAGCCCAGCCGGCTGCTCTGCTCCAGCCATGCTTCTGCTGCATGCTTGGCCTTGTCTTCGTGGGGCAGGAGAAAGGCGGTGGGGCCTGCCGTGCTGGGTGGTGTGCTGGCACCGGGGCTGGCTTGTTAAAACCATGCTAGAGACAGTAAAAGGAGAGGGGGGTGCCTGTAGAGGAAGGCAACCCCCGCCTATACCATACACAGGCCATGCCAATTTGATTGTGGGGTAAAATGCCATCCTGACCAACCCCATCTCACAAACACAGGCCATGCTGATATGACATAACTGTGGGGTAGAATTCCTTCCTAAACGCCTCCCTCCACCATCTCACACATGCAGACCATGCTGATCTGACCGTGGGGTCAGACTCTTTGCTGACCAACCTCCTCTCCATCTCATGCACACAGTCCAGGCGGTGACCGGGGGATAAAAAGCTTCTTCCTAACCCCTGATATGGTGATTGGTGTGACCCTTAGCAGAAGCAAAAGTCTCTAGCCAGAAACCTCAGGTTTTGGGGGTTTTGTTTTTTTTAGTTTCAGCAGTTGTATTGGCAAAGCCCAGTCAAAATCCCCTGTCCTGGCTGCAGCCAAGGCCCAATGCTGAAGGTGAATAGACACCCCCGACACTTGCAGCAGCAAAAGGGGAAACGTCCCTTCCTGGCCCTGTGTGGCATCCAGCAAATCCCAGAAGCGAATAAGCCAAACCACTCTCGGTCTGCACTGCCTTCAGCTATGTTCTTTCATTTTGTTTAAACTGGCAAGATGAGCAGCTTGGTTGTGGGCCAGGTGTTACCTTATTATCCATAGATGTTATCTACATAATACAGGTATTGACAGTCTGCCACGGGGGTTAGGGGCACAGCCTCTGAATCTGAGCTTCCAGGGCCTTAAATACAGGAGGCTGCATGCCAGAGAGGAACAGTGTTAAAAATACCCAGTTCGCTCCCAGTTTCAGTACCCGCTCTTTGCCACGCTGTGGCAGGATAACCTGTGGCTATTTATAAAGTGGTTTTCAGTCAGCTAGTTACAGTTACTTACATTGGGGATGAAAATGCAAACTGACAAATTCTCTTTGCTAACTCTTACATGAAAACGTCCAGCTGATAAAATTGTGTGGGCTGTGACCTGACACAATGTCTCGATGCACCAGTGTAGATAATTTATTAAAGAAACTTGAGCTATTCATACATCATTCCTTCAGTTCTTGATCCCCAAAACAAGCATGGCTCAGTGAGTCCAGGTCATTCATTCAGCTGATATGTTTTCCTTACTGTTTCTACTTAAAGCATATGGTGCCCTTGTGTTGTCAAAAGTGCACTTTTTACTTCTGATCCTCACTCCCTTAGCTAAAATGCATTTTTGTGCAACTCCTCGTGTACAGAGCGAGATAGCTAGTTCTTCATTAGTGTAGTTGCCACTTAATTAGTGCTATCAATAACATACAAAAATTACTGGAATGCCCAGAAGATCTGTATCATCTCTGCAAAGCGGGAAGTTAATCGTGTGAGGTAGGGTGGGTTTCTTTGCTAGATTAAATGTTAGCATCCAGCGAAGGAAACAAATCTGGTCCCAAGCAAGAATGAAGAGTAAGAGGTTTGGGGTTGTATCAGGCTCTGCCACTCGCAGTGTGACTCTGCAGACTCATCATCTATAAAATGGGTTGTCATAATGCCTATTTTAGAAGAGTATTGTGAAAATATAATTGTGGTTTATAAGGAGCTTTGAGATCCCTGGATGAAAAGTGACATATGAAGTCAAAATAGAATTATAAAACTAATTTTCAGGATCTTCTTTCTTCCTTGTCTTTTGCATAAGCAAAGTTATAGAGACCTGTAGTCAACCTGTACAGCGAGTATGAATATGTGAATGTACAAATGTACAGGAGTCCTTGAGCAGTCCTCTTACTATACCTGCACATTCAGGTGTTCCCTTTGGTGTATTTATTAGCTCTGTTCCAATGGATATGTTTACACTGCAGTTTTTGGGTCTACTTGATACATAATGCATTATCTGTTCTTTCTTTTGCAGAACATAGTAGGTCATTGTGCTGAACTAATGAAAAGACCTCTGGTGCATCAGAAATCAGTGTGCTATGTAGGAAATGAAAAATGACTTGTACAGAGAGGTGAAAATTAAGATAATGTAAAACATTAACTGAGATTTAGCACCTCTCTCTCATCAGTTTAATGAGGTGTATTTGAGTGACCTCTATTTTCTATCTCCATCTCCTTAAACGGTAGCATTACACCATTGTGCTCTCCCTGTATGCTGTTACGTCTCGTTTTCTCTTTGTTCCTAAAACTGTAGCAATTGTTGCTCTCCCATAATGTTGTACATAATAATTATAATTACCAGAAACATTTGTTGAATTTAATTTGCTGGTAATGTCAGACCTGGGAACCAGTTGCCTTGCACAACAGGTTTGACGCAGACAGTGGCAGTGCTGACTTGGCTTACCAGCACGCCCCAACCAAATCTACACGGACAAAATTAAACCTCCCAAGTATGGAAACCGCTGCAAAGATGCAGTCTATATAATATAACTGGTTGAATTGCTATTCTTTGTGATCGTGTACAGCAAGGATATCAAACTCATTTAGCACCATGGGCCGGATCTGGACTGTGGGGCTTCTTGCAGGCCAGACCACCCATCTTTGGTGGCGATATTAACACCCTGGATGTTGGTCTTACCCATGCAGTGGCTCTGGAAGCCATTGGGGTTAAAGCCACCACTGCAGAATTGCATCCCCAGTGTGGAAGAACATGTCCTTTTATTGTATGTTAGGGGAGAAAGGAAAGATCTGCCAGACTTTGCTTAACTTTGCCCATTTTTATGCAATGCCTTGATAATAACTAACAGCTGCCACCACACAGTAAGTTATTTAAGCAGTAGTGACAAGAGATACCTACTACTTTTATATTTGTAAATCTCAAAATGTTTTATGAATGAGGGCACAAGTCATGACCCTCATTTCACAGATGAGTAAAAATAGGGTAGCACAGAGATGATGTGACTTAATTAAGTGCAGTTGTACAAATCCATAGGAGACCTGGCTCTTAATCCTGTTTCTGCTCACTCCCTGTCCTGTGTTCCATTCACCAAAGCTTACTTTTTCCCTGCACCACATTTGCAAAAGCATTCATGATCCACTGCCCCAAAGTTAGTGGTTGTACTTACCAAAATATCACTCCTTTTACATAGCTTTTTTATTCTCTGGTGTCATCATATGAAAAAAATACATTAATTTCTCTGTAGCTGGGGTTGCAGTTCTTAGAATCTCAGCTTCTCATCTGTGTGACTCACGGCTGACAAACCTGACATGAGTGGGCCTCTAAGCTTGCCCTCTCCAGTTGTAAGAGCAAGTATGGGGCTGGCAGTATGGATCTTCAGCTCCCTCCTGGCTCATAATAGAACTGGAGAGGACCAGGTAGAAGGGAAGAATGATATGAGGTGACCTTGGGGCCACACTGAAGTTGACAGTTCTCATTCCAGGCCCATGAAGCAAAAGCAATGGAGAAATAAAGCTTTTACTTCATGCCTGAGCCTCTGGCTGAGAATTGTGGGGGAGAGATGTGTGAAGTTACATACCACATGATAAGATACAGGTGTAAATGATGTGTTTGGTACAGAACAGAAGCCCTAGCTCTGAAAATCCTAGCTTCTTTGAATTTAATACAGATCTTTACTACTTGATGTGTTTTGGTTTGGGGCAGTAAGGGACTGATTAAAAATCCATTTAAGTCAGTGGGAACCCCTCCTGACTCTAATGAAAATATTTGTTCAAATTGAACATATCATAAGGTTATGAACAGAGTTCATAAAGTGTCTAAAATTGCAAATGTTATTCATATTTTCTGCATGCTTGTATCTTAAAAAAAACAAATTAGGCTGACATTGTCTTTAAAGAGGGCAAACTCTGAGGCTTTGGATATATTTTTGGGTCAGCACATGTTTCAGTGGACTTTTTAGAGATATAAGATTTAAAGATGTAATGATCTCTTTATATGTAAAAAAAACCTTTGCATTCTGATCACTGGAATTTCAATTGTGTAATATTTAGGAATGCTTCATAGAAGAGTCAGTGGACATTTAGAATATTTCCTAGGTGCATCTCCTATATTGTTTTTTTTTACATTGCCTTTGTTAACCCATCACTAGAACTCATTTTACTATTATAATTTATAGTGGAATGCAGTTAACACAAAAGTCATTTTAAAGTGGAATAGACTAGAAGTCCCACATGTCCACTAAAACTATCTGAAGTAAGTGTTGGGAAGAAAAATGACTTTGCTGTAAAACTAATAATTCCATTGTATTTATGTGCCAGCAGTACTTATAAAACTGTGATGTAAGCTGATACGAGCATGTTTTTCACAAATGCTTGTATGGATTAAAATAATAAATTTCAGTTTCCTTTATTAAAATGCTTCATAAACCAAAGTGGTTAGGAAAAGGCCTGAAACTTGTAGAAAGAATGTTACCAATATATGGCATCTGTTCATCAGAGAATGATGATGGATATTGCAGCTATTCTACTGAGGGTGGTGCATTTTCTCTTGTGGCTGTAAAAACCGATGTTAGGCTTGCAGGTCCTGCCACAGCGGTCACAGGTATACATGGCATAAGATGCTACTGTACTTGACAGGCTGTTTCCTTTGGTCACGTTTCTGTTGTAATTCGAGTGACCATTTCTCATCGCGATGTTGGACTCCGTGATTGAGAAGGGAGCGCCACTTTGTCCTGTCATCACTACTGATAGTCAGTACTTGAATCAATAGTATCTTTAATTTGCGTTTTACCTTTCATGTGCATCCTTCTTTGTTAGGGTTCAGCAGCCTCTATATTAATGTAGCTCAGTTAACATTATAGGTTAATAGGTGGGTGTTTTATTAGTGTAATGAAAGTAAGGAGTTTCATTATGCTCAGCTTCCTCTTGTTTTTTGACAGGTTGCAGAAATGGCAGAAGATGGCAGTGATGAAACCATGTTTATTTGTAAGTATTAGAAGAAGAATGTGATGTAGTTATCAGGATGGGACTTGTCTGTACCCTGTGTTAAATTTGAACCTAAAACAAACTTACCTTTTGTAAAGGTATTTATTTATTTGTAAAGTTAATTATATAAGCGAATCCCAAGTATAGAAGGAAACTTCCAGTTTTTAAGAACATGCATACTTTATTGGAAAGGGAGAGGAAGAGTATACTGAAATGGCTCTAGACATGAATTAATAGCACAGTATTTTTCATAACTGGCTATGGGGAGACTGAAAACCCCCAGAACTGTCAGTGGTTAATTTGAGCCTTTTGCTTATGTGGTGGTGGTTGCCTTATTGGGCAATGCACCAGGCATTGTCCTGTGGATCTTCAGAAGTAGGAAAATGAGAAAATTCAGTTTTGGTTAGAAACCTGTCGCCCTGTGTTCTGGAGCTGCAATGTCCTCATGTCCTTCGAGGATCTGATACAGAAAGGAACCTGTAGACCATGCTGATCAGGGGGTTATACTTATGTAACCAAGGGAGATCTGAGTCTGATCCAGGCTGGGGAAAGCAAAAGCAAAGAGTGTGGCCTTGATGGTCCCTTCACCTTGCAGCCCATTTGTTGCTCTTCAGGATTTTGGCTCCACAGGACAAAAGGGAATGGTCTCTAATCACTGACTCTGTGGCATCATCTCAGTGGCAAAAGTTTGCTGGGGTTTCTCTCCTAAGGCAGTGCTGCCCTAACGTTTTATTACTTGGACTGTTAGTCTCCATGATGAAGCTTCTCTATTTGCCCTACCACAAAAAGAGCCTCAGTGCTGTAGAAGCTAGAGCAGACCAGGAAGTCTTGCAAATGATCTTTACCTCTGTGGGTTAGCAAGGGGGCAGGCCCTTGCCAATTGCACAAATAGTGTGCATTAAGTAACCTGCTCTCCCCATACCCAAATGGGACATGGGAGTTGAATTTGTGGCATTTCTTGATTTCTATGCGAGTTTTCTGAAATAAAAATTGATTTTTGTATCTGACGTTCTGGGCTTCCAAAGTTGCTCACTGTTGTTGAGCTTCATGTTGCATTAAGCTCAGTTCACAACTAAATAACATGCTTCTAAAATGCCAGAAGGGCTATACGCTCAGCCTGGTGCCTGAAAATTGTGCTGTTGTCTTCCTGTTTCATGCTGCCTCATCAGAAGTAAACATAGTAGAATCAGAACTCAGCTGACAGTTTTGTTGATAAGCATGAAACAGAATAGAACACACTGTGCTCTTCAGTGAGTATGGTGACTCTACAATGATGTTTTCCCCCTTTTCTGGCAGAAAACTAGGCAGATGTAGCTGAGAAAATGCACAAAAGGTCCATTTCTTTGATTCCAATTGGAACAAAAATGGGACATCATTACAGAATACAAGTATGTTTTGAAGGGAGTTGTAGCCTAGTAATTAAAGCTGGGCACTGGAACTCATATATTTGGTTTCTGATGCTAACACTCACTTTGTTCCTCAGTATATCCATTTAAGAGCTGGGTAGATTATCTGTTTTGCAAGGAATTGAAGGTTAATGATAAGTTACTAGTAGAATTTAACAATTTAATAATAATAATAGTTACTATTAGTAATTATGAGCCTGTATAAGATCAGGGTGAGAGGGAAGACTGCACTCTACAAATAGCGGAATAGGTGGTACAGGGAGTCTTTAGGCAGAGACTGGACAGACACCTTACTGGGATCATTTGATCTCAGCAGTTTTCCTGCCCAGAGCAGGGGGGTTGGACTCAATGATCTTTTGAGGTCTCTTCCAGCCCTTGATTTCTATGAGTATTGTAAAAATATTTGCTGATTCGAGTCTTTCTTCTGACCATAAACTTGCTTCTAAAAACCATCATCACTGCTAAACCTGAATTTTCTTGCACTCTCCTCCAGGTAATTCACATCTCTCTCACTGTCTCTGGTTTTGTAATGCTTCTGTAGCCTTTGCACCCTTAAGTACCACACATAGTGAACACTGTTGATCAAGGAAGGTTTGCCAGATGGCATCCTGTAGATTTCAGAGATATATGTTGCATGGTAGTGTTATTACTTAAACCCCACTTTAATTGTCTGTCCACAAAGGAGAGTTCATATGTCCATGTGCTGCTTATGTTCCCTAGTAGAGTAGTGGTGGACACTAAGAATTAAAGAAAGCCACATGTTGTGGTGTTAGATGTTGAATATCTTTGCAGAAATGTTAGATACTGAGAATTTGCATGCTAAACATTGAAAGCTTTTGTTAAGCATAACCTTAAAAGAAATCCTTATGTTAGTGTTCACTTTTGTGAACACTGAGGATAAGACTTCCAAGTAATAAAAGGCAGTGTAAGAGTGATGTTGTAGCCATGTAATAAAAGCTAAGGATCTTCTCATTAGGTACTGTGAGGAAACTTGGGAAAATCTGTTACACCCAGAGAATTCCTGGCTTTGTTGAAATTGATGAGGTGTTTGTCATTGACTTCAGTAGGGCCAGGATGTTTTCAGTGTCTGAGAATATATGAGGTTCTGCATGTGTGCCTTAAAAACATGGATCCTTTGAATAGAATAATGATTTTCCTAGCTTTTGTTGGCTAAAACATTGTTGTTCAACTATTTTTATACCAAGTATTTACTGGGGGTTGATTTGAAAATATTTTCTTTGGGAAGATATTTTAATTTTTTTAAGTGCGTTGTCACCTATGACATTTCTTTGCCAGTCCTGCATATGTGTTGGACAGTGCTTTTGATTCAATTGTGCATATCCTCTGAGGCAGTAGAAATGACGAGCTTATTTAATTTACTTAGTTTGATGCTTGAATTTTGTATCTGGCTTTCCTAAATAAAAGGCAACATTCCTAGGATAGCATTTCCTTGAAGCTGTGTATGCTGTCTTTTTCCTTACAGGGTGTGAGGACTGTGGTCAGTATCATGATTCAGAATGTCCCGAGTTGGGCCCAGTGGTGACAGTCAAAGACTCTTTTGTGTTGAGCAGGGCAAGGTAAGTAACTTTAGCATGGCTCTGCAGTTCCTTTGTTTAAAATTAATTTACTGTTTGGCATATGCCAGACTGACACCTAAAAATGAGGATCTCCGTCTACCAAACAGACAGACCATGATGAAACAAAGAACTGAAGCATGTGTTTAAGCACTTTTTTGCTTTGAAACAAGAGTCTCCCTGCTTATTCATACCTTGGCAATTGTGGTGAGATTGCTAATTGAGATGGTTTCTTAAAATGGGTGGTTTCTTAAAAACAGTGATACCTTTCACATTTTCTTGTTTTTCCCATCTTAAGCACATCACACTGCATGTTGACATATTCAGCATGGTACAGCATTTTCCAGTGGTGATAATGTGAGTGCTACAGTACTTCATTCACCATCTGTCATTTATCCACCACAAGAAGCAAAGCCACTGATTCTTCCCATTTTTATAGGTTTTTAAGAGTGATCTTAAATCCTGATTTTGTCAACCTATAACAACATAGCAGAATTATTTATTTATTTAGTTCTCCCAAAAGAAACTACCCACTTAAATTCAGAGTTAGGATAAAACAGTATTACATAGAATCATTAAATGTCACCAAAATGTATATCTTAAAGAGAAATTTTTTTTTTTCCTCTGGAAAAGATACTTCAGTTTTGAGGTATCTTTGAAATATTCTAGAAACATAGAAACTCAGTGAAGAAGACTGGTCTCGAAGACACGGCAGTGAATCTTTGATCAGAACCAGAGAGGCTTGATGACAGCTAAGCTGTCTCTTGCCTTTTTCTTTGTGGCCTCTCTGTAGAGGGAAGGGTGAACACCTGTTATTCATACTGCCAGGGATTACTGTTTCACAAACATATCCAAACTGGCATTATTGGGTCAATAACTATTAATAAAAGTGGGAGTCCCTATCCTGGAGTGCTTGCAATCAAGGCAAAATGGATGTGGGAAATGTGGGAAAAATTTTATTACCATCTCTGGGTTATCTTTGGGAACTTGGGCTGAAAGGGAATAACTTGTCCAAGGTCAAGTGAGAAGGCTGTAGTACAACTGAGAAATGTATCCTGTTGAAAGGATTAAGTGAGGCTGTCTTGTTTTTAAAAAAAGAGAAAAAGGAGGGGACAAGAAGTGTTAAAGTCCAAGCAAGTGTCTTTTACTATATTATAATAAATAACACCTTTTGTTCCTGAAACTGAAGGGTTGTTGTTGTTGTTTTGTTTTTTTAAACTAATCTTATTTGCTTGTCAATAAAGGCCTTATACACATTGTTTGTTTTTGGTAATCTTCTCAACCTAGACAAGGAAAATAGATTAGTCAGTCTCACCCTTTTCCTGTTACTGTAGTTTGTAACTGGTTTCATTTTAATGTTCTCATGTACAGTAATGAGAAGCTGGGGTTGCAGTTACTGTAGGGGCTATTTCTAAAGCCAGCTCAAGTGTACTTTTAAACATGTTTGGAAATATTTCTTTTGGGCATAGCCTTTATAATCAGTTGGCCTTATCAATTTTACTCCAGGGTAGACTTTCAATTGAAAGCATAACTTTTTGAAAACTGAAGTTCCATAGACAAAAGGGCCAAATTGTTTCTCATCTGGGAAGTATCCTCGGAAAGAAGCCTAGGGGATGGAAACCTTTTGAGGTACTCCAGGCATCAGTACTTCTGATAAGAGTTGTGGGAATTGGGGTCCAGTGGATTTTGGAAATGTAGTAACCCCAAATATCTAGGGAACAGAAAGAGAAAGAACTTGTTGACTTCTGTCTCTAGTAATGCAGTTGTTACTGAAGCTGAGTCAGAATTGACTCACTCCCCCTGCAGCTGAAGAGGGGATGCAGTAGGCAGTTATTACAGCAGTAGTTGTGTTACCAGCTGCCTACTTTCTCATGCAGAAATCTAGCCCCCAGATGGAGGGACTGGTGCTATAGAGAGCATCCCTTCTGCTCTTTCCCTGTCACCGCAGAGCTTGTGTTATTGAGGATGCTCATGAGGGGATGAGGGAGGCTAAGATTAAGTCACTAAAAATTAAATTGGTTCATAAGAATCTATGTCTGTCACCCATACAGCTTTGTCAAGGTAGTATGATGGCTTCTGTCACAAGAAATTATTTTTCAGAGGTGGGCCACATTTTATAAGTAGTAAGAAATGTTTCTTGAATATGGTTCCTCTCACAGGCCCAATTTGCTAAAATGGGAAGGTGTCCATGACAAAAGCACTGATGATCTGAAGGAAGGCTAGCTACTGCTGACGTGTTAGGAAGGGAATTGGGAAGAAGAGTGGAAACAGCAGGGTTTACAAGTTTGACCTCGGCAATAAGAAAGATTCTGATTAAAAAGGAAAATATCTTGAAAGCAGTGAATTATAAAAGGGCACTGGCAACTCATATTGTAACAAAGCTTTTGAAAAAATTGAGAGCAGTAGAAGTGTTTTCATTATGGACTTTAAAAATTCTATTGGAAACTGAAGTAATAACAACCTGACATTGCAGCATTGAGAAACTGGGTGGTGATTTATTTCTCTTCCCCTTGGACACTGAGATAATTGTTTTTATGTATGGATAATTTTCCTGATATTTTTATTCTCTTGGGGTTTTTTTTCCTTCAATTTTTAGGTCATCTCTGCCTTCCAACCTGGAGATAAGACAACTCGAAGATGGGACTGAAGGTGTATTTGCACTGACTCAGTTGGTCAAACGTACCCAGTTTGGCCCATTTGAATCTAAGCGAGTTGCCAAACTGGAAAAGGAGTCAGCCTTTCCACTGAAGGTACAATATAATGCATGCACAATGATACTGATGTGAAGTTAGTTCTAAGGTCATCATGAGCACACCTGCATTATGGAAAGAAATGGATAGATCTGAGAGAGCTTTCGATAATATCTGACATTAAGCCACCTAAATTAGTGTTTCTTTGGCATCCCCAAGGGAGCAGACAGTGGCTTAACCTAGTGAGGCATCCTGTCTAGTATAGCCATTGCTAAAACAGCTTTGTTCCATATGAACAGAGAAGATCTACAAGAGCAAGTGAAAGATAGGAATGATAGGTGCCATTTGACTTCTTCTTTACACACTTGGTGGTGGAGGATGCAGAAGGATGATGATGATGATGCAAATTCTTTTTTTTTGGTGTGGCAGTTCAATTTGATTCTGTTTTCCCAATACACAATCAGAAAAGCAGATAATCCTTTTGCCTTCCCAGGTACTTAAGTTATGCTCATACAGCAACCACAACAAAAGTGTGTTCTCATTTTTGTTTCATTCTCACATCTTTCAAAAGTCTCAGTAAAAACCTGTTTTGGGTGTTTCAGTCCAGTCTTCCCTCTGCAGTAATATCTCATCAGAAATAAAGGTTTAGAAATAAATAGAAACCAAAATCAAGGGTTGATTGTTGTTTAGTGTTCTGGCTTTTCTCCCTGCTTCCCATCATTCATGAATAAAGAGGTTAATTGGCATTCCATTCTTCAGTGAGTAATTTTGATTGAGTTAGCTAAAGCAGCTTCCTTTGAGTTAAAGCTTTTGTTTATTTCCATTCTGTCTCTGACTTGCTGTATGACTTTGCCTCAGTTTACTTAACTGTAAAATGTAGGTAATATCTGTCACACGTGCTGGGTTAAATATCTGGGTGCTGACATTTAATTTGTGCTTGAAGTATTCTAAGTCTTTATCCTAAAAGCACAAAATACATTCTAATTTATTCTTAGCCATTATTTTTCGTAACCTTTATAGTATGCGTGACTTACAACTACTATCCTCCTTGCCCAAACACAACGCAGGCCTCATTGTGTCCATATCCAGCAGATCTGTCTTTTATTGTTTTCCTGCCTGCTTTCCATGCTCTTACCTTCTGTCCTGGGGTGACGGGCCATTTCTGGCTTGGTGTACTGCTGCTTGCAGCTGAGACCCATCACCATCTCCTGGTGCAAGATCTCTTTTCGGCTGGTCTTCCTTTCTGCAATGTCCTTCAGCTAGGTCCTGCATAGGCCTAGCCTTCCTACTGGCTTACTTGTACCTAGTCCTTGTAGTATTCCAGCTTCTTTGCTCAGGTCTTCTTTGGCAGGAGGTCTATTCTCTTTAGCTGTTGGAGTGCTTCTGCTCCTTATACATCAAATAAATAAATACTGCCATGGCCCTTTTATATTTCTCCAAGTGGTGGTGCCTCAACCTGTTCTCATTCTCCTTCAAGGGCCCTTCCCCTTCTTCCTTATTATGGGGACTAAAGGGTCTCTGCTGTTATAGTGTGCATTCTATTTCCATTGCTGTCACAGGTTTTCCAGAAGGATGGGCCTCTGGTTTATTTTGATACCTCTAATGAAGATGACTGCAATTGGATGATGATGGTGAGGCCAGCCACTGAATATGAACACCAGAACTTGACTGCCTTCCAGCATGACAGCGATATTTATTTCACTACCTCCCGGGACATCCCACCGGGGACAGAGTTGCGAGTATGGTATGCAGCTTTCTATGCCAAAAAAATGGAAAAGCCAGTGCTAAAGCAGGTTACTACTATTGCCAATGGTATGTTTTGGTGCATCTTTAATTCTTTTTTCCCCCCCCCAAGTGTCAAATCCTGCTACATGTGATCACTTTTATGAGTGCTGTGACAATTGAGAATTGCTGAGTATCTCAGGTGCTGGCCCTGACCCTGCATGGATAAGATGTGAAAATCAGACCATCTCACATGCAGGTTTCATTTTAAAAGACAAACGCTCAGGTTCAGCATCATGTAGTAGCGGTATCTTTAAGTAAAAGAAAAAATACATGTCCTAATTAGTAGTTCCAGGCTCTTAGGATCCAACAGACAGGAAAAGATGATCTTTAGCTGCAGGCTCTTCACTAAAAAGTCCAAATGCCAATATAACTCAAACATAAATGAATCACTAAAGAAGTGATCCCCTTCTAATTGCAGTGAAAGCATCCTTTCCTTTCCATAGGATGCTGTATAATTGCAGGCAAATACATCTACCTTCAACGATTGTGCCCTCTGAAACAAAATGATGAGTTCAAACAGGGCTTTTATTCCACATGATTACTTGAGTTATTTGCAGAGAAAGGCAGACTGCTTTAATAGAGTGATTTAAACTGGCACAAAAGCTTTTATGTCTTTCCTCAATTTTCTTTTACCTGTACATTTCTGTATCTTAAACAAAGACCTTTTAGCATTACAGAGCATTTTTTATTGTTGTGCAGTTGCTAGGTTGAGTATAATTTACAGAGTAGTGAATGGCTTGGTGATATGCAAGTGTCATCAGTACGCTTTGTGACCTTTTTTTGAGAGTGCAGCCTGAAGTATTATAAGGCTGAAGAGATGCTTAGGTCATTTGGCCAGTAATTTTTATTTGTCACAAGCTGTTTCCACAGAGGGTGCAAAGAAAGGCTTCCTTTTTCTTTTCCTAAGTAAAAAAAGCACCAGAGTAGGTTAATTTTATATATGCGTTATGTTGAGCTGAAACTGAATACCCTCTCTCCAGGTTTTTAGATATTTGGCTGAAGCTACAACTCTGCTAAGTATCAGATTTAATATAATGAGCCTGCAAATTATTCTCATGCAAATAAACTCAGGTCATCAGGAATTGATAGTCAGTGGTCTGTTGCCTAATCAAGATTTGAAGGATTTGCATACTTCTGTAAAGGAATATATTTGTATACAGTGATACAAGTCTCCATACTCATTGTTTTTAAGTGCATTCTCACTTGTGTATTTCTCAATTTTACAATGGTAGGCATTCTGCCATAAATAGAGTTTCACCTCTGTTAGGAACTTTTGGGAAAGTATTTGTTGAAGACCTGCTATGTTAATATAGCTGGCAGCATCTGTAGGTGTTGCCCTTGACACTGTATCAGGTACTGAAAAGAACAAAAAGAAACTGTTTTTCTCCCACTACAGATATGTGTTTAGTTGTGATGGAATATGACAAAGAAGGGAACAGACTCTCTTCAAAGTCTCCCAGTGCTGTTTTCTCACATAAAAAGCCCAAGAAGTCCAATGTGCCTGAAGCTGATATTTCAGGTAAACAAAAATACTTTATCCTGTGTTCATTCCTATACTTCATGTAGCTAACAGTACCAGGTTAAGGGTCACCTGGAGCAAATGAGTCATTCAGCACATAATGTGCATGTGTGTTTATATGCGCAATGTGTCAAACATTATAAATAAAATCATATTTTTGATTAGGTTTATTTCTATGCAGAGGCATAACTAGGAATTGTGGTGCCCTGGGTGGAGGAGAGGGGATCAAGTGCTTATTTGTTGGCCCAGGGGTTCCTGTAGCCACTGCTGTGGTGTTACGAGCTCCCCAATTGCAGGTGCTTCTGCAGCAGCAGTGATGGCACCTCCTTTAAGTTGGCTCTCAGGGCTGGTTTTCCATTCAGCTACCCCTAACTTTGCTACTGACTGTATGTCATATAATGTATCCTTGACGCTTAATGAAGGTAGTATTCAAATATATGTATTTTCATTAATCGTCTTCATGGGTGTTTAATAATCTGCTGTGATCAAGGACAGTAACTGAGAGGGATTCGAAACTTGCAGGCAGATGTTTCTCCCAATCTCTACTAACTGCTTTTAACTCTTTTTTTGGTACTCTGAAGCCTGAAGGGAATCTTTACTTTTCTTTTGTTCACGGTGTAGTACCTGAAATATAAATTATAAGCAGGAAACCAAAAAGATAGTGGCAGCATGGGGAAAAATGGCATTTGGATATGTTAAGACCAGTGGTTATTCCTAAACATTGTATTAGTTAAAGAGAATTTAGAAATCTGATAGACATCAAGCTATGCTTGATTACAGTGGCTCAAAATTAGATAACCTTGTGAGCAAGGTGGTTAACATTGACAAAGGAAAGATTGTTTTAAAAAAACATGCTTAACGTCACATGAGTACAAAGCAGAGTATTCAGTATCACAGATCATGCCATTTCCAAAGGGAGGCTCTGCCTCGTGACTCCCCAAGGAGAAGCTGTATTTGGTCTCCCTCTCCTGAAGGGCCCCTGGAAGCCAGCGTGGCTTGGCTTTCCCAGCCCTGGCATGGCTTTCCCAGTGATCTGCAGCACTCCTGCCTCAAAGAGCTCCTTTTTGGGCATCTTCCAGGAATGGGGGTGTTTTCTTCTTCTAAGTGGAGGGGATCAGAGTGCTGATGTCCCAAACAACACAGCAGACTGCTTCCAAACAAACCATCTTATTGTGCCTCTGCAGTTCCCTCTTTTCTTCAGGTTCTACTCTCTCCTCCCTGGGACTATTCCTTTTTCTACACTTTGGGACTTTCTCTTTACTGTGTCTTCCCTGGAACTGCCTTTTTTTCTACCCAGTTCTCTCAGAGCCTCACTCTTTCTCCTTTGACAGTTAGCCATGCTTGCAACCGAAAAGTTACAAAACTATAAGATTAACCTGGGGTCAACACTGACCCAATAAGACAAAGCATAAAATCACAGGAAATCAGTCAAAGAGCAGTCTACAGCCTGCTGTCAGGCCATCTGTCCCTGAGGTGTAAAGGGCATAAAGGTGTTCTGCTTATAAAACTATTTACTGGAAATATTTATAGGAAAGTATGTTCACACCGAGTCCTCCAAAAAGTTCCCCACAAGAACGGTATGCTAGAACTTAGTCTTTTTTGTCACATCCAGTAACTGGGACAATGAAATTAAGAGGCATTAAACATTTGTAAATTACTTTATCTAAATTCTATTCAAAAGGGGTCATCAGAGGCAGTTCATTGGGAACCTGCTCTGCTTAGACATTATGCATTGACATTAAAGATGGCACTTTCTTTTTCTGTTACAGGTGTGTTTAAAATATTCCACCAGAGAAGCACATCTAATTAACCCAGATGCTGCTGCTATTAGAATATAATGGTCACTGAAAAACTGTGTTTAGAAAAAAACATAGATATTTCAGAGGGGTTTTATAGGTTTTAGTTTTGGGACCTTCCTTCCTACCTGATCCCTGCCATATCCCCTTTCCCCACCAAGAAAAAGAAAAGAAAAATCTTTGCAGAACTGAAATTCTGCATGTTTTATTTAAGAAATACTGGGCACATCTACACAAGATGCTTACTGCGCATTAGCCTAATATTGCGCAGTAATGTAGCAGTTGTTAACTGTACTGATAGCCTACTGCATAGTGTTATTAGACTGATGTGCAGTAAGCATTGCTAAAAAAACATGTGCTGGCGCTACTGCGCAGTAACTAGTTACTGTGCATTCGGTTAGTACCTCTTATTAAAGGTTCTAAACAATGCTCAGTAACTAAGATGCATTAATGAATGTGTAGATGTGCTCACTGAAACATTCCTGTGATGGCAACAATTTGGTCTCCTTTGATGTTGTAGGATCCTTGGCTGCTTCCCAAAAGGCTGCCCTGCAGCCTGAGTGCCACCAATCCATGGTGATCTACAGGGAGCATGGAGGCCTGAGTTCCCCAGCAGTCTACTTTGTAGACTGTTGAGGCATTCAGATTTTTGAAACCCTGAGAGCTGGCTGCCAGATTTGGATTGGTCCCTAAGCATCTAAATGGTACGGTAGTAGGTAGAGTTTACATGCCTGAGCAATTCAAATTGTCCATACACTAGCAGTCATAAAACACCCTGAGTGCCTAAATTAAATGGATATCGTTGTTTTGGACTGTAAATCCCACTCCGTATCTTGACTGGGGCTTGTAAGCATACTCGGGTACAGTTTAGGTGGTTCGCCTATATTAACATTAAATAACTCGTTCAAGGTCAAATAAGCTGTAGCAGAATCTGGAATACAGCCCAAGTCTCATGAAACCCAACCCAGTACTTACTTCCTTGCTGAGGGATTCCTGTAAACTGTAAGACATTAAGGCCACTTATAGATGTGAAAAACAAAACAGCACTTTACTTTCAGCTTGGCATACCCCTGTGCTAAACACAGTGCATGCCCACAAAGAGCATTGCGTTAGTTTGACCTAATAGTTTGACCTATAGTGTCTGTATAGCTTGCACATTCAGCGGGGCTTTCTGGTGCTTTTATCTAATAGCTGATTGAATCAGCTTTAGATAAAAGCACCAAAAAGCCCCGCTGAAGCGACCAATCTATATACAGATGCTGGGGAGCTGTGTCAAGTTGACACACTTCTGCTTCTGGTAAAGTGCTGTTTTTTCGGGGGGGGTTCATGTCTGTCAGCGGCCTAGACTTCCCAGATAATGTGCAAATTGATGTCGATTTTTTTTTTTCAGATCCTCCTGATAGGTCCTTTAATAAGCTGACTGAAACTTAAATGACTGTGGATTGTAAATACAGAATAACAGTGTTCCTGATTCTGAGACCTTCTTTTTCCTTTAGAGATACTGAAGTTAAATGTGTTGCTTGGTTACTTAAATAATGAAATTCTGTCTTTTCTTTGTTCCTGAGATCTTATGTATCATACTAGCCAATTGCCCATCAAGAATGAGGGAGGGGGGCAGCCGGGGACAGCGGCCTGCATCCAGCCCTGGTTCTCCTCCCCACCACCTCCAGGGCCAGGCTTGCTACCCCTTTCCCCACCCCCGCCATGCCAGGGCCAGGCTGGCCCCTGCTCCGTCTGCTTGCACTGCCCTCACGTCTGTCTATCACTGCCACCTGCAGGGCCAGGGGGACATGTCCAGCAGCCTTGCCCCCCTCCCCATCCTCTCCATTTTCACAGCCTGCAGGGAGCAGGGGGGACAAGGCCAGCCTGCCCTCTGTCCACTCGTTGCTGCTGCCTGCAGGGTTGGGGGTCCAGGGCCAGAGGCACTGGCTTTGCCACGGGGGGGGGGAGCCAGTGCTCCCATCCCCCTTCCTGCATTGGTCCAGGCTTGCTGTTTCCTACCACCCGCCCCGTGTTGGGAGGGAGCAGTGCAGGAGGGTCAAGGCCAGCTGTGCTGGCCTTGCCACCCCTGCTCCATCCCCTGTGCCCCCACCATCACGGTGGTGCTCCACTGTACCACCACCTCCTGTCCGAGCGCTGTATTAGCACTCTAATTGGTTGTTTCTGTCAGCCAATCAGAGTGCAAATAAAATATTATAGACACACTAAGGCTTATGTAACCCGGGCGGTACTCCAAGAGGTACCCCCTCTCCAAGTGAAGGGATCAAAGCAGGTGCAGAAGCGCTGTGGGAGGTGTAGGGACTGTCCTCCCCCTATAGAGCAGAGCTAGACCACCAATGGGGACTTAACCATATACCTTTTAATGACAGAACAGTGCTGGGAACATAACAGGCATAAAGCAGGGGGTATAGGGGACACTACAATGCGCCGAGGTGGCAGGATTCAACAAGGGTTAGACACTTATAATCGTAGACATAGTGTCATAGTAGCTAGGGTCAGGAGGGACCTGAACAGATCATCTAGCCTGACCCCCTGCCACAGGCAGGAATGAATGCTGGGTTCACAAGTTCATATTCATCCGGTTGGCAAAAAGACAGGGTTAACCAAAATATAAAACACAAACAGCAGAACAAACAATACTGGTTGGGGAAATATAAAAGGCACAAAATACGAAATGTCAAATGACAAGGATTATAGGGCCTAGGTACCTGGAGAGGGAGAAAAGGGGGAGGACACAATAGCCCCTCTCTATAGCAACAAGAACTTCTCCCTGTTAGCCCACTCACCCCAGCTGGGACTTGAACTTGGATTTCCCACATGGTAGGCAGAAACTCTACCACCTAGCCACCAGTGCTGGTCCTGGGCCAAGCTGCTAGGGGTCTTGACCGTCCCAGAGCCCCTGCCTGACATCAAGCTGCCTGGCTTCTTATTGGAGGAGCTGGAAGCAGAGCTGGGAACCTCTGAGGTCGCTGCTCAGATCCTTGCTGGAGCTGGGGAGCCTCTCCTGCTGGCCACAGCCTCTCATAGGGGTCCTCGAGCCCAGTGGGGAGCCTCTCCTGCTGGCCATACGCTCTCGTAGGGGATCCTAGAGCCCAGCAGGGAGGTTCTCCTGCTGGCCACAAGCCACGCTGCTGAGGGTCCAAGTGCTGCGTGCAAGTCCCACTCCTTCAGGTGCTTCTGGGACAACTGCTCCTGCTCCTGCTCCTGCTCCTGCTCCTGCTCCTGCTCCTGCCCCACTGGCCCAGCTCTTTGCCAGCTCCTTGAATCTCCTTCCTTGTGGTCCCTCTCTGGTCTTCCCTGAGTCAGCTGCACTGCCCCTTTTATCCCCCTCCAGGTGACCCAAGGGGCCAATCAGGGGACATGGAGGGTGAGTCTCTGGGGCCTGATTGGTGAGGAAAGGGAATCCCAAGTCCTCCAATCATCTTTTGCCCTTTCAAAACCCCTGGGCTAAGTTACTGCCAGCCAGCCCATCACACTTTTATAATATTAGACTTGGCAAAATATCCAGTTCATTAAGCTGTTCAAATAAGTGTAGGGGCTTTTTCACTCCCCTTCACATTCCCTTTTGTGAAAGCATTTTGTTCAGTCCATATTCCCAGTTTGCCCAGAATGAGTAAGTCTGATTTCTTAAGGTGGTCAAGATTGGTCATACCAAATATTCTTTGAAATTTACCTTTGATTGTTACTTAATTTAGAAAGAAGAAAGGGAAAATCTACCTCAAACTCAAGTGAGATATTAGGAAGATTGAAATCTCCTTTCCTTTCTTTTTTAATCCCATTCCTGTTTTAGTTCTTAAAATGGTCTATTGGCCTTCCAGTGAATTCAGTGTTAGTCTCGAGCATAATCATCTTCTGATGCTTCTTACGTAAAAACACCTACTTGGATATTATCTTAAACTCTACCAGACTGGTGAGATTGCAGCAGCTGTTTCCTTGGGTCAGTCTTATTCCTTGTTTAATCAATGAAACAAGTTGTTCTAAAGTTTCATAGCAGGGTAAACATTATTGTAAATCCCTCTGAGCTGCTGAGCAGTGGGCTATGTTTATATTTAAAATGTTTGTAATTTTTTTCTTTTTGTGATGTAGCAAGTACTCCAGAGGGCATTGGGCCTCCTGAACTGGAGTCTAACCAGTGGACATGTAAAGTGTGTTCCTCCATTTTCCAGGAACCTCAGCTGCTGACAGGTATGGGGGAAATTTGGAATTCCTGTTCAAAATACCCAGAAAATGTTTGGGCATCTCCATCCTTTCAAAGCAAGACATTTTATAATCGGGGTGGTGGTTTTGCAGTGCCATAAGTTATAGGGTGTTATGATTTGTTTGCTTGTTGTTGTTTAAGATCCTAAGAAAGAGTAAAACTAAGGTTGCAACTGATGATGAGTGCAGGCTTCTGTCATCAAATGTTATGATATTGTATCTAGAAAGAAATTTTTTCTAGTAGATGGCAGATGAATATTAACATCAGAATAAATGGAGTTACATATAAAAGAGGGTGCAGATTTAGGGATGCTCCGTATTGTCATCAATTCAGTTATAGCAGCACAAAGGCATTGTTATAGGGTACTGAAACATGTCATTTTCTTATGTTGTGTTTATAGCTATTGAATAAGGTTTCTGTTAAGAGATTAAAAGATGTAGGAGACTAATTCTTACTGGTTCCCAATGAGAATTCAGATATGTCCACACCATTTCCCCTATACTCCTGGGCAAACTTTTTGAGCATACCATGCTTTGCACATGCCAAACCTAGAAATGAGGCGGTGCAGCCATGCTGGGCATGCCTACCACTGCCACTCCTAAATTCTCAGTTTCCAGTGAGTTCTTGAGCAAAGGCAGGAGATGTCCTCAGTGTGTCCACAGCATCTCATTTCTGGTTGTGGATGCTGGTGCTTGCTTGAGAGTGGTATGCTGGGGGGTGGTGTAGACATTCTCTCAGGCCTCTTAAGAGATCATTGAAGAACAGCTTAAGTTGTTAAATTGCTTAGGCACCTCTGAACACTGTACCCTTTATTGCTAATCTGTAAACTTGTCCAAATAAATATAGCCTTTTGTATATTTCAGTCCAGGTCAGTGGTAAGTCCTCCATTGTAAATGAAATGTTCATATATACGTTGGGTGTTTTTCACTGCCCATGAAATACTTGAACTTGACAGGGTTCAGTTAACAATAGGCTTTTGTGTAGGGGTGGGCAAAATACAAACCGCAAGCCGAATCTGGCCTGCCAGGTACTTTCATCCAGCTTGTGGCAACCAACAAGTAATTATACCCCACCCAGCCCTTCTGCCTATAAGGGTGGGAGTGAGGTTCCCTCATATACACCCCCCCACCAACATACCCTCTTGTGCCTCACTCCCGCCCTCATGGGCAGAAGGGCCCAGACCAGCCAGCGCACAGCTTCTGGGGAAGGCTGTGCTGCCACTGCTGCAGCTCCTGGGAGACCTGCTTGGCTTCCCTGGTGTCCTACTTGCTCCGGGCAATGGGTAGGGAAGTGGTGGGGATAGGGGGGAGCTGCAGAGCTGGGCAGGAGTGTGGGGCTGGGGTTGGCAGCAGCATAGAGCTGGGGTGCTTGGGGTGCTTGTGCCCAGTGCTGGCATGCGGCAGCACGTGGCTCCAGCCAGCACTGTACATGGGGGGCTAGGACTGCAGCCTGGCCAGGCTGCGTCTATCACTGGGTCTCCCTGCCACCCACATACAGCTTCTGCACTTGCACGCCACCAGAGGGAAGCTCCACGTGCTGGAGCTGGTTGCCTTTGCTGCTCTGTGTTGTGCAGGTCCCAGGACTCCACCGGAAGTAGAGGGGAGCCCTTCCGTCTGCTTCCCCACGGAGTCCCAGGGCCTGCACGGCAGGGAGCGGTGAAGGCAGGCAGCTCCAGCACGTGGAGCTTCCTTCCAGTGGCGTGCAAGAGCAGGTGCTGTGCATGCACAGTGGGGAGCCCGTGATAAAGGTGGCCCAACTGAACTGCGCTCCTTGCCCCTATGTGCAGTGCTAGCTGAAGCCACGTGCCACTGGGTGCCAGCACTGAGCGGCCCCACCTGCTGCTGCTGCCTGTGGGGTGGGGGCTGAGCATCATGGCAGGAGCATGGAGGGAGTCGGCCCCCCGTCCCTCACACCCGACAAACTCCACACACCCAAACCATGCCCCTGCAGCCTCCCCACATACACACACACACTGCCCCAACATGCCCTATTGCCTCCCCACACACAGCCACACCCCCTGCACACTCCCCACACCCCACCATACACACACCCCCATACAATATACAAGACTGAGATTTTATCTTTGAGTTATTGTGCATTCATCTCTATATACACTATGCAAACACAAATCATGATGAAAATATTTTTTGTAATAAAATCAGTTATAGTAGGTGTTTGATTTTTAATGTATGATTTGTTTTTTTTTCTCATTCTAAGTTGGCCAACCCCCTCCCCACACCAAAGGAGCATTTCTGGGGAGCAAGGGGAGGGATTTATGGTGGCAAAGGTCAGGGAATAGTGGGGGAGATTTCCAGTCCCAAGATGACAACCAGCAGGCAGGGCAACTGCCAAGGGGTGGGGCTACCCATGTGGCTCTCAGGCTCACCAAACTTTAAGCAGCTCTCCAGCCAAGATAATTGCCTGCCCCTGCTTTAGTGGCTTAGCTATCCATGTGTTTCAATCACAGCCCTGTTTCTCCTCTCACCCTTGCAGAGCATCTGTTGAGTCACTTGGAGGAAGCGAAAGGAGTCCCCCAGACTAGCCAAAGTGAAGGAGTTCCAGAAAAGGCTGTAGAGGCTCCTGCTGCAGATCAGCCTGTAATCAGTGAAGGGGCCAGCCCCAACTTAGATACGAGGAGGAAGCCGCGAAGGGGAAGAAAGTCCAAAACAGCAAAAACAGAAACACCTCTTGTTGTTGTTGAAGACAAAGACCCTGCAAGTGAGACAGGTGAGGCTTATACAAGTAGCTGCCAGATAGGCTTCTGTCTTATTGGTTGTGTCTTAATATAAAAAGGCTTGCAAATCCAGTGCCTAGATTTGGGGTAGGTGGTTTTTAGTTTATGTAGGTAACCTTTGAAAATTATCTCCTGTAATGACACTATCTTTTCTAAGATGTATGCCTCAGTAATAAACATCATAGCATCTGCATGCAAGTTTTTGGGCAGATTCACCAGATGAGACAGACAAAGCTCAGTTTTTCAGGTTTTCTTATGTATATGTCCTTTTCTTCAGGTCTAGTTTTATTAATAAGCAGAAAATACAAAAAGGCTTAAGGTAACCCAGAAGAGTGAGTGACAGAGTCCTGTCCTGCTTTGTGCTAGCTAGAAAGGGAAAGGACACTTTCTCTCCCCAATATATTCCCTCCTTCCTGGCTGTTCCTTTAAGCTTTCTTAACTGGAGGGACTTCTTTCAAGATCTTATCTCAACCCATGTTTTCCTGAGACTGAGATAGGAGCCTTCCTTTAGCATGGGATCCATTGGACCATTGGTTTGCAAATCTGAGTGAGCAGAAGCAGCTTGTGCCTTCCTCTTTTGCACTGTTACTGTACAGATATAAAATTTGTTTGTTCCCAAGATACCATTGAGACCAAGAGCTTGACCTGAAAAATATGTTGGACAATCATGTATAACAAGCACAATTACATTCAATAGGGTAAAAGCAAAGGAGGTTTGAAAAGGAGAGAACCTCAAATTTCAGGGATGGTAAGTCAACTTCTATCTTGGAGTTACTAGGCAGAAATAGATAGGCGGACCCAGAAGTGGACTGGAAGTGCTTCTGGTCCACTTCTAGGTTTGCTGCCAAGCAAGCTGGGGACCCCCCTGAACTCCTGTGGTGTCCATCCTCCCCACCATCTCAGCATTCATGAGCCGCTTGGTACCTTGAGGTATGTAGAAAAAACATTTAAAGCTGTGCCTGTCTGAATCGTCACATCTTTCCGAATTTCTCTGAATCCATTTGGAGGGTTCCAGTTCAATTCAGAGAAGTTAAAGGGTCTCTGGATTCGATTCAGATTCAGAGATTCGGCCACCGAATTGGGCCAAACCTCCACCAAATTGAATCAGCAACTGAAGCTTTGCACAGCCCTATTTTCTTGGTCTTGGAACCCAGTTCAGCAGCCATATCTCATTATTTATCTTTGTTTTAATTCATACTTTTAAATTACCTGCCTATTTTGATTTCAGTTAGATGCCAAGAATGGAAACTCTGGTTCAGTGTATTTCTAGAACAAAAGGATATAAAGAAAGTATAAGGCTTCGTTCCATCTCAGAAAACGTATATTCTGAGTTTAATTTAATTTGTGCCTGTATGCATTTAAAGCCCTCCACAGAAATTCTGTATTTTTGTGTTTAATGTGTTCACAGTGGATCGTGTGGCTGAAATTATAACAGAGATTCCACCCGATGAGGTAGCCATTCCTTCTGCAGCCGAAGAAAGGATTATGGAACTGGTTTTAGGAAAGATGCCAAGCACCACAAATAATATTAGTTCAGTAACAAAGTAAGTCACAAGGGATGCAGCGTCTTATAGCAGTGAAACCTCTCCTCAGGTCATCTCTACAACACCATTGTAGTTTTTCTTGCGGGAGGGCATTGGTTGAGGGATTAATTTGGAACAATCAGAACCTGGCCCAACTCTGACTCTCTTTTTTATTAATGGGATCTGTGGTACAGTAGGTTCTGTCAGAGTCTTCTTCATCACTCAGCTCCATGTGTGGGTGTGCAGACTGCTGGTGGTAGAGCAGCTGCTAATGGATCTTGTGCTTCTGTATGCCACAGTGGGAGATTCGTGCAGGCTGGAAGCGCTATAAGTTAGTGGTGGGGTGCTGGTAATATGAGTTTCCCTTGCAGAGTGTACTGCAATAGAACTGTGTCTTCATCATGTTATACAAAGTGATTTATGAAATTCAGGCACAGCTGCACAGTTTAATATTACTTCCAGAGTGACAGTAATAAAAGTTCCAACATGCTACAATTTCTCCCAAACATGTTGGGCAGTCCTGCTGCTAGTAGAACTTGTCAACCACTTCTGTCTCATCTAGCTTGGAAGGGGTGAGGAGAGGATACCTGTGGAGCTTGCAGAACCTCAGGAATTTGATTACTGTATTTACCCAGATATAAATGATCCCGCGCTCCCCCCCCGATAATTAGATTCTATTCATGGAAAAATTATATCTTTGTTAGAATTTTCCATGTATAGAATCAAATTTAAGATGATCTTCCAATAATTAATCCCCCTTACTGCCATAGACAGTGGCAGGGACAGGCAATGAGTGGGGTAGTAATGGAGCAGGCAGTAGAGGAAAGGAGTGGGGAAGTACGTTGTAGGGCAGGTGGTGAGGCAGGCACGCATCTTGCCTCCTGGCCTGTCCCCACCCCCTTTACCTCCCTTTGTGCCTGCCCTCTGCAGCTGCAGGCTCCTGCCCCCCCCCCCGCTTACCCCCCCTGCCCCACTTCTGCCCCCCACACCCCTGCCCCCCCCTTTCCTCTTCCCCGCACTGCCCCCCACTTTCCTCTTCCCCGCAACTTCCTCCTCTTTGTGCTGCTTCTGCCACCTTGCAGCCTTGGGTCCCTGCCCCTGTCGTACCTATCTCATCCCCCACTCTCCTCTGCCTGCCCATCAACCTCTTCCTTGCCTTTCTCTCGGCACCAGCAGGCTCTGTCTCCACTGCAGTCTTGGGGCATGGAGCATAGCTCCAGCTCTGCTCCATAGTGCTGCATAGAACTGGCACTGCTGCTACAGGGCTGGACCATGCACCAAGCTCTAGGCTGCAGCAGAGCTAAAACCTGCAAGCACCAGAGCAAAGAAGGGGGTGGGGGAGGCACAGAAGCTGTAGGGGAGGAATGGTAGGGGCTACAGAACAGGCAGTGGTGGGGGGGTACAAGCAGCAGCTGGGGCTGTGGCTCTGACCCAGGGATAGGGACAGAGCCATAGCAGCTGCCTGCCTCATACTCAGTTGTAAGATAAGGAGTTTTTCCTCTAAGTTAAGTGGTGGGGGGACCTCATCTTGTAATTGAGTAAATATGATAATTGCATGTATTTCTTGTAAAAGATATTTTGTCTGAGTGAAAATAGCTGCCTGAAAGATCTATGGGTGTGTTTGATTGATTTCTATTTCAAGATTACAGTTAGTAACATAAATTGAAGCCCCCAGCAAGTACATAGCCATATAAAAGTAGGATTCAAAAACATGTCACAAACAGTAGTTAGAAAAAGAAGCAGAATGGTATTGCTAGATGGTTCTCTACATGCTGCTTTTATATGCTTTTCACATGAAAATTGCAAAGCTTTTGGAGTGAAAAGTGATTTTAAGGGATAATGAGAGAAATTCCTTTGTCTTCATTTGAGAGCGCTGGAGATCTAATCTTTGATTCAAGTTAGACACATTTTATTTTTCTGGCTGAGGATGACTGGACTAAATGCTTTTCAGGCAAACTTGACTGCTTTCTATACATGGCTGGGAGGAGTCACCCCTGAGCACAGTAGCAGGCTCTGACTTCCCCCTAGAGGCTGAGCATAAGACTAAGTTTTTGCCATCTTCTAGCACTCTTTCTTTTCCTCTGTGGGATACCTTTCAGTCCCTGCCTTTCTTTCTCTAATCCAGTAGGTTTACTCATCACCAAAACACCATGTCCCTCAAAAGAAGTTTAATTCTCTCCAGTAGACATGGAATACGGCGCAAGTTGATGAAGCAACTTGGGGATCACAAGCGAGTGTACCAGTGCAGCATCTGCAGTAAGGTCTTCCAGAACAGCAGCAACCTCAGCAGACACATCCGCTCTCACGGTGGGTTTGCGTGCATCTCTCTGCCATCAGATAGCATCTCCATTCAGTGCCAGGGCTTGAGAGAATCTTAGAGACTGCTAACTTTGATCAGTTCTCTTAGTAATTACTTAAAGGCTTTTTGAATCAAGTTGACAAAAGCATCATGAGACACTGGTTTCAAGTCCAAGTAGATAAGTTCCAGCTAGAAATAGGCTTGCAAATTTTTAACAGTGAGACAATGTGATCAGTCTTTAAAGATTGCTTCTCTCTCCCTGGAGAGGTGCTGTGGTTAATTTAAAGGCTATTGAGTTAAATGCAAGAATTTTTAGGCACACCGTAGGGTAGTGTGGCAACTTAGACCATGAATGGACTGCTTATTCATACATCTGATGAAGTAGGTTGTTCTCTGCAAAAGCTCATATCTAAACTAGTTACTCTTGTGGTGCCACCCTCCCTTACCTTCTGCCTGACTTCAAGTTATTAACATGGCTAGCTAAAAACTCTTTAAAGGTGGTTAAAGTTACATGCAAGAAGTCATGCTAACTGATCATAATGATTCCTCCTGTTCTTAAAATCAGTGAGTCCTTTTAATTGTTACAGGCTCCTGTTGTGTCTGATAGCTAAGCGGTTAGCTTGCCATCTCACAATTTTTTTTTTAGGTGTTCCATGTGGAGTTGCTTACATCAGCCTCTGACTCTGTTCTATATTGATTGATCCCTTAGGTGACAAACTATTTAAATGTGAAGAATGTGCCAAGCTATTCAGCCGTAAAGAGAGCTTGAAGCAGCATGTTTCATACAAACACAGCAGGAATGAAGTGAGTGGAAATGACTAGCTGATTTTTCATGAGTAAGGGTGGAAATGTATGAAGAAATGTATGATGCTATTTGGGGAGTGTGGTTCAGCTGTGTGCGGAATGGTTGCCTAGCATGCAAGAATCTGCAGGAAAGAGGGTCACTGAACTGGAGACAGCTCTAGGCTGAGGGCCGTATCCAGAGGTAAGCTCTGACTGTTGCTTACACCAAATAGAATTCTTTCACTATTGTCTTGCCCACCAGTCCCATTTCTGTCTCTGTCTTTTGTTGATTTAGATTACAATAGAAACTGTCCTGCTGTTATATCAGGCTTGCGCACATGTGTACATAAACACGCATACATACACGCGTGGATAGCAACATAACAGAAGTAAAACCACTTCTACCCTATTGTAATCTAAATCTATAAAAGACATATGTATGTGTGTACATACACACACGTGTGTTTGAGTATGTACACGCTTGCAGTGGAGCCCTAATCCTTGACCAGGGTGTCTTAGTGCTAATGCAATACAGATAATATAATAAAACACTAAGAGCACCAAGGCTGCTTGCAGATGTTAAAAAAAATAAAAAACCCAAAAAACTAGCGCTTTACTTTACTTTAAAACTCCATGCACTCTCATGCCGAGCCTAGTGCGTGCCCAAAAGAGGCAGCACATTAGTTGGACTTGGCTCGCCTGACATCGTGATAGGTCAGGTGCTTTAGTGGGGCTTTTTTGGTGCTTTTATCTAATAGCTGATTGAATCAGCTTTAGCTAAAAGAACCAAAAAGCCCTGCTAAAGTGCTCCGTCTATACAGATGCTGCGGAGCTGGATTGAAGTAGTGCACTGCATCTTCTGTAAAGCGCATTTGTTTGTTTGTTTGTTTGTTTGTTTTAACATCTGCAAGCAGGACAAGAGTCTTTCTATTGACTTCAGAGGGCTTTGCATCCAACGCCAAGTATTCCAGTTGTTGGCATCTGATGCCAAGAATGTTGTTGGAGCCTGATGATGAGTTTGGTGACATCTTGATTTTTTCCTAAATCAAATACCTCCATACAAGCTTGAAAATAGCCAGAGATTGCTAACCACACACACCTAACGTCTCTTTTTATCAATCAGTAAGAACGATGGGGCTTTTTTGCACAGGGTTCAGAAATAAGAATCCTCCATTGAGATTTTTTTTAATGTTTTGAAAGGGAAAAAAATTCCCATTTGAATAAAATCAGAAGACTGAAAGTATTGAAAAGCCATCTGGATTTCTTTGCAGATTTTCTCTTTCTCCATTGTGAAATGACTTGTTTTTTTTCTCTTCCTCTCTTAAACATTGGCAATTCTCAGGTTGACAGTGAGTACAGATTCAAGTGTGCTACGTGTGAAAAGGCCTTTCGGATAGAGAGTGCATTGGAATTCCACAATTGCAGAACAGGTGATAAGAACCACTTACCCTCAAAGTTATCTAATCTTAGCTCTTTCAGGGGTATGTCCTATAGTGCATCACCGTAGCAACCAGGAGGGAAAGGTAGTCTCTTGGGCTTAATATTTATCATGTTATCTCAGCACAAAAGATTAAAATAAACAACTTGCCTGAAATACTGTTTCATAAGGAAACCGCATTTCAGGTAGTCTCACAACAACAGTTCTACTTTAGCGTTATATTTTATTTCTTCTCTCCAGTCTCACATCTCCAGCTGTCTCTCAAGTATCCGGTCACAACTTCCAATTTACTTTTTCTAAAACTAAGCATTAAGAGTTCAGATACCTAGCTGGTAACATATCCCTGATTTTAGTGTAATTAATTTAATCCGTAGTAAGGAGTGGATGAACAATTAGCTCCGCCAACCTGGTCTGCCTACAGTAGATACTGTTACAGAATTTGGCCACCAGGTGGCAGGGATCAATTGACTAGGGGACTGGACACATACCATTATGGCTGCATACATACATTCAAATAATCTTGGAGAATTCTCCCAGAGTTGTTCTCCTGATAGAAAAACTTACCCAAAGATGTGCGAATGGTGAGCCCCCAAAAAGCAGAGTTTGCAGGGCTGACTGCACAATCAGGGGGACCCTATGCACATCTCTACATACTCTGCAGGCTCTATGTCTGCCTGGAGACAGAATGGGAGGAGTACACAGGGCAGCCCTGATTGACCGACCCAGACTGCTCAGTCTCCCTGCAGCACATTATAGGGGTCATGAAGGGGACATGTTTCGTTCCCTGCTTGCGTGCAGAAGCAGAGTTCATCAAGCAACATACTTTCTCATGGGGAGAAGTGGGGAGCAAAGCACCCTGGGATGCTGAAGCTACACTCTGTGCTGTAGTCTCTCTCAGAAGAGAATGTGTACAGGCATTCACTCTGAGAAGAAACTCTCTTAAGAGTGATTTAACCCTGGTTGGTCGCAGGTTATTTTTTCCTTGAATAGCCATTTTTACTCTGGGAGAAAAATTCTAAACATCTGAAATTCTGAACAATATCTACTAACTGAATATTTGTATGTGGCCTATGTTAGTATACTTTACACCACTGTATAATCGCTCTTCATTTTTTGAGGGGAATCTTTACCCCAGGGTGGCCTGACTTACACTGGTATAAGCTGATGTGTCATATATCTGCTCCACTTTTACTGCAGAGCAAAATTAATTTAATTCTATAGTACAGTGATCAGTGTGGAGCTGTGCTGGATCCAGGCAGCTGGAAGCAGCATCTGCATTGCCACTTTTTCTCTCTGGCCTCAATGCCCCTGCTGTTCCAGCTGCAGCCCGGAAATCTGCCTTCATCAAATGGAAGCAATACAAGGTTGTTTATTTCCAAAACTAACATCAATTTTGAAACTGCTCTTAAAAGACTTAATTCTTTCTGCTCTCTTGCCCCAGTGAAAATGTCATACTCCTTTATACTTCCCCAACTACTGGATTAGGCATAAACTTCCCATGAAGATATAAAATTTGTTATAAGGGCTTTGTACCTTCAATTGAGGCTTCTGGTCCTGTCATCTGCCCTTAACCAAATGCTGGACTTGGTGTGCTACTGTTCAGATGCAGCAGTTCTTCTTTCGCTTCCAAATAGAACATTGTTTTGGGGAAAGGCAGGACCCACTCTAGGCAGAATGGTTATATATTTCAGGTAGTAGAAATGAGGCTTCACATAAAAAGCTTACCCTACCAGAATCAGTGTTCAAGTTATCTTAAAGATTTACTGTTTGTTTGTCTTTGGAGTGGTTTGGTGAATTCTTGCCTTTTATGCGATAAGAGAAGGGGATTTCAGTAGAGCTGCCTTCCATTGGTTCTTAGGGGGAGACCTGACCTTGTGATGTCAGGTGGGCTAGTAGTTTTATTTTTTAGTAGAAAGAAAAACTTACAAGATCATCTTACAACTAGCAGCCTATTTCTTGCCTGCATTCTCCTTGATCCAAAAATGCACTGATTATAGATATAGCTAAACAGTGTCCTAGGGATGCTGTTCTCAAGCATGTCCTGCTCCTGATTTGCTTGTTCCAAACCCAATACTACAGTAGTGAAATTGTTCCCTGCCCCCCGCCACTCTACCCCCAACTGCTACTCTATTTTCAGTGCCCTTGTCAGCAGTGGTGGGTAATGCTGCCAGAGTGGCTTCACTGCCTTGTTTTTCAGGTGTGGCATGTGCAGAACTGGAGTGGGTAGGCAGGTACGGGCTCAAGAACAGCACCTTCAGAAGTACTAGAAAAGTGGCATAGGTGTAGCCTGGAAAGAGCAATTCTACACCTAATTGTAGAAGTGACTTCCTTTCTGATGTTTTCATCTGAGAAGGATTGCTTTCTTTGCTTTGCCAACAGACGACAAGACGTTCCAGTGTGAGATGTGTTTCAGATTCTTTTCTACAAACAGTAACCTCTCAAAACACAAGAAGAAGCATGGGGATAAGAAATTTTCATGTGAAATCTGCAATAAAATGTTCTACCGGAAAGATGTCATGTTGGATCATCAGCGGAGACACTTGGAAGGTAAGTATACTCAGGATAAAGCCACCCACCACCCTGGTAGTGTTACTTGACTAAGGAAGACTTAGTCAGTGCTTGTGCCTCACTCTCCTCTAAGTTGATTTTGAGACAAAAGCTAATATCCAATCTTGCGTAGCCGGTGTAACCAGTTGCTAACAAATGAGGATATGGGCACACAATAGTTATGCCCTTTTTAAAAGGGACATAGGAGCTTACCGCATTTCAGCCATTTTGTTTGTTCATTCCTGTCCCACGGCAAGTGGAACTTTGAACTGAGACAGCTTTACCCCTTAATGAAAGGGGGTTAAACAACCATGGTTTAGTTTTACTTGCTGTCAGATAGGGGTGGACAGACAAAATAGTTTCAAGAGGTTTGCTGATGAGCGCTATGTCACCCACATCCTTTTAGAACAGTATAATTATCTGTCTGCCTATATCCCAAGTGTAGTGAATCATGGAAGTAACTACTTCATCCCTTTGAGTACTGAGATCACATTTGAAGGCCTTTAAAAAAAAAAAAAAAAATTCTGTAATGTAGCTATGAATGGCTACATTCAACTCTTTAGTTTTCAGATGAAAATATTGTGGTCTGTTACATAGGATGCATTACATAGATTGTATTTTAAAGAAACTTAACTAAGGGTGCAGGAACAAACTCTTGATGTGTAGGAAGAATAGCAAATATGGCAGGCAACCAGCTTGGTTTAGCAGCGAACTCGTCAGTGAACTTAAACACAAAAAGGAAGCTTACAAGAAGTGGAAACCTGGACAGATGGCTAGGGAGGAGTATAAGAATATTGCTTGAGCATGCAGGGATGAAATTAGGAAGGCCAAAGTGTAATTGGAGTTATAGTTGTCAAGGGACATAGAATCATAGAAGTAGGGTCAGAAGGGACCTTGTAGATCTTCAAGTCTGACCCCCTGCCTGGGCAGGAGGAAAACTGGGCTCAAATGACCCCAGCCAGGTAGGCATCGAGCAGCTTCTTAAAGACCCCCAGGGTAGGAGCCAGCACCACTTCCCTTGGAAGTTGGTTCCAGATCCTAGCCGCTCTAACTGTGAAGTAGTTCCTAAGAATGTCTAATCTAAACCTACTCTCCAACAACTTGTGGCCGTTATTCCTTGTTATCCGGGGGGGCGCTATGGGAAACAAGGTCTCCCCCAAACCCATCTGGTCCCCCCTAGTGAGTTTATAGACGGTCACCAGGTCCCCCCTCAGCCTTCTCTTGTGAAAGCTGAACAGGTTCAGGTCCCGTAGCCTCTCGTTGTAGGGTCTGCCCTGCTGTCCCCGGATCATGCGGGTGGCCCTCCTCTGGACCCTCTCAATGTTGTCCACATCCCTCTTGAAGTGGGGTGCCCAG